GATAAACAAATCCAAATATTTTCTAAATTTCCGACATTCATTTAAAATTATTTAATCTGTTTATCATAAACAGAGCATTTGCTTAAATACCTGTATCTATAAAATAACAACGTTAAAACATAAAAAAATGTCTTTAATAAATAAATTGTCGGATCTTGTCCATTTCTTAACATATATATATATGTACAAATTTCATTGGAGGCAACTGACAAGTCACTGTGATTAAGCATTTTATGACATTACTCTTCTGGACATAGATTGTGTAAAAACTGTCCAAATGACATGTGGATCTGAGCACTTTCACCTAATCTATGCAACATTATTAAGGATGTGTTTTTGTTTAACTGAATATGTAGATTTTTTTCTGGCTAGATGTAGGTATAAGTCCTATGCTAATAGCTCCTTGTCTTGCACTTCTTGCTTGTGGAACTCTCGTTTGGCTCTGTGCTTTCTACCCAACTTTAATCTTCAAATATTTAAATGTATGACTATAATTAAAATAAGAATGTTTTCAATTTACAAACATGGTCAACATGTTGTGGTAGATTTCATAATTGATAATTGTTGTGGCCTGTTTAGGGGCTAGAAAGAAAGACATAGAAGATAAAGGTAGGTTGAACAAGTGTATTGAAATAACAGATATATACAAAGCAAGAGTGTTAGTAATAAGCAGATAGAGGTGTATGTCCGAACGATCACTGCGTCTTGGCTGCCCAATGACTGCTCAACGACTGCTAACGACTGCCTCAATGACTGCTCTAGAAAGTCTCACAGTCAGTATTTAATGAGAGGAGGAAAAGTTCATACTACTGTAGGAGGGTTTACCACAACAAAAATGTCATATATGTTTATGTGTGTGTGAGTGTGTGTGTGTAATGTTCACAATACTTATTTACTGCTCACCTACAATCTAAACCTCTTCAAGTCAAGGGTCACTCATATCTGAGTAGAGGCTAAGCCTATTATCAACATTTTATTTTCTTCAATCAGGTGATGGAAATAAAATTTCATTGGAAATAAGCTGAGCATCTACTCAGATATGGGTGCCCAATAGAAGTAGCATTTAAAGTATTAAATATATATATATATATATATATATATATATATATATATATATATATATATATGGCTGGTAGCTCTATCTCTGATATTGAGCGCTTTCTAATAAGTACCACACATATAATATATAAATAATTATACATATATATATTTATTTATATTTATATACACTTTTCACACACACACACACACACACACACACATATATATATATATATATATATATATATATATATATATATTTATTTGAATAAAAAACAGACCACTTTAAGGTTCTATGTAATAAGTTATTTCACCACAACCCTTTTAAAGGTCTCTGGATCATCAGACTTTACTTCCAAAGGTTGAAATGAAAAATGAAAAGAAGTTTACACATTTTTGACGGACCGCACCAAGCATATGTAAAATTAATGAAGTGAGGAAGTGAGGTGGGGGAGAGGATATGAGTGAGTTAGATGTACCATTTCAATTCTTTATCCTTAACCCCACTCTGTGTAGGCTAGATGCCGCTTAATATATGCATACATATATATATATAGATGTATGTATCTTTTTCTTTTTTAATAATCCTCAGCATTGAGCTACTGGTGATGAAAAAAATGTATATTTATTATTAATCTATAATCTCTCTCTCTCTCTCTCTCTATATATATATATATATATATATATATATATATATATAGTACAGGTAATAAAACCATTGGTATATAATCCAAGTGGATCCTACCTAGTAATATAAAATATTAAAACTGATCTAGAAATAGAGCACAATGTATTTATTATAACAGAACATATCAATAGCACATATCAATAAAATATCAATAACACAACAAAATCAAAAATTACCTCATATGGTGGCCATAGTAAAAAAATATTGAAAAATATAAATTAAAATAAATTGTACATTTTCAACTTTAAAGATATATTAACAAAAACAAATCATAGAATGTTGTATTTAAAAAACTGAAAAAAAAATATAGATAAAGAGGTGTAAGTGATAAAAGGAAAGAAAGTTCTTAGAAGCGGGGAAAATTATACAATATAATTAATTTGGGATAAACAACAAACCTAGTCTGGAACCTTCTTGTAATTGTAGAAATAAAGAAAGTTGTCCAGTTGAGGGCAAATGCAGGTCTACTAGCAAGCAACCATTTTCCCCAAAGAAAATATGTTGAATTATAATGTTTACATTGAAATTTTCACAGGGAATGGAAACAGAGATTTTATACCCATAGGCACTCTTTTACCAACCCTGAATTAAAACACCAGACAGCTCTTTCAAAAAAATGTTGGGAATTGAGGGAGAAAGATCTGAACCCACAGATAGACTGGAAAATTATATATTTCTCTCACTTCTTAGAGATAGGTGTAACTTGTATTTAGAAGAAAAAATTAGAAATAATAAAATACTCTAATCAAAATTAGAATAATAAAATACACTAATCAAAGCATACTATTAAATCAAAGGAATGAATTAGTTTTAAAATGTCCACATAAAAACAAATTTAAACTTCTAAAATATAGATTTTATTTTATTACTTTTTAACTCTCTAACTCTTCAGATGTCAAATGTCTATTTCTAATTTCTATATTAATTATTTCTTATAATTTTCCCCTTTTCTAAGAACTCTCTTTCCTTTTATCTCTTACAACTCTTTATCTATAAATATTTTTAAAGTTTTTTAGGTTTTGTTTTTTAGGTTTTTAAATAGAACTTTAAAATTTTTTATATATAACTTGATTTATCTTTAACTTATCTATAAATGTATAATTTATTTTATCTTATTATATTTTTATTTTTAAATATATTTTTTTTTTCTAATATAAAATTTTTTAAAAATATATTCTTAAATTTTATATAAATTATCTAAATATGACTTATTTATAATCTTTTAAATATATCTTACTTTTAAGTATAATTTAATATTTTTCTAAGTAGGAACCTAACCTTTTATATATTTAAATTATTTTTTTATAAAACTCCCTTTGTGGCATTCTTTTAGTTTCAAATTAATACCTCATTCTTCATAAAACCCCAATTTAATGCCATAAGGTTAATATCCGGGTTTAATTTCATAAAACCTCTTCCCTTTAAGGCTACTAACTTCCACCCTCTCCTAACCACCATCTCAGGCATTTTGTCTGACTGAAACATCAAAATGGATAAATTCTGTTTCAATTTTTTGATGGCAGTCAAAGTTAAATTTCTAATTCCAACACAAACTCAGTCTATACACTGGGGTTGAATAATACTGACATAGTTTTTGTCAATTGAAATAGATCTATCCCACCATATGAGGTAATTTTGGATCTTGTTGTGTAACATTATATATATATATATATATATATATATATAGAATGTGATAGAAATTATATATATATATATATATATATATATATATCAAAGATAAGTAAATGGACAGATATAGATTCAGGTTTGTTTGATGATTTAATGTCAACATCAGTGTAAATATTTTCATAGTTTTAACAGATATATTTACCAAAATTACACAAAAATATCTTGAAATACTAAAAAGCAAATTTATTCAATGAAATCCCCATTGGCTTCAATCACTGCCTCCAGACAACTTCGGAATCTCCTGCATCTCTTCAGGATGGTCACCTTGTTTCAGTTGGTGAATGCTGCCATAATCCTTGCCTTCAGTTCATCTTTAGTCTTGGTCTTACAAGGAGTTTCATTGCTCTCTCGCTCAACTGTGCCCCACACATAAAAATCAAGGGGATTGCAGCCTGGGGAGTTAAGTGGCTAGATATAAGTGGTGATGTGGTCACAGAGATTCTCTGACAGCCATAACTGGGTTCCCCTGCTTGTGTGGCATGGGGCAGAGTCCTGTTGCCAGACATAGGGTCTTCCAGCAGCCACCCTCTTGACCCAGGGTAGCACTACCTCCTCAAGGCCCTTGATATAGATGTTGATTAATGTTGAGTTTGAGGCCCTGAAGAAGGATGAATGGAAGCATAACATGACCATCACTAATGATCACTCCAAACACCATAATGTTGACTGAATATATCATCCAACTCATTCTGTGTCCTCTGCACTGTCCTCAGATTGACACCCAAACACTCTGAAGTGTTTGTGTTGGAGCTTCTGGCAGAAATGCCAAGCAGTACTGCATGCTGTTTCCAAATCTCTGGTGGAGTAAATTGTGTTATTGTGCTCTTTTTCTCACAGATGGTGCCCAACAGACATTAGTATCCTGATCCTGCACAGTTTCCAAAATCAAAAACAAACAATGCAAAAATAAAAATATAAATGGCAACCACCTACACATCACACCCTGTAAAAAGAAGTAGATACATCTAAGTGAATCTGACTTAGATTAAAGTGATTATCTCCAGCATTTCTGCATCGGATCACAATATCATATCTGCAATGGTCTATTATTTATTTGAGGTAATGGCAGGGCGTAATGGACATGCTGACTAACTTACCAACAGAGAAAGAACCAGATATTAAGCTGACACAACATTATCACCTCCTTTATTTTCTTTATTTTCCTTTAGTGTTTTTCTTTTTTCTTTCTTTTTTTCTTTCTTTTGCATTCCTCTTGCTACATTCTCCTGTTTATTCTTTCTCTCTTTCTTTCTTTTTTCTTTCTTTCTTCCTTTCTTTCTTTCTTTCTTTCTTTCTTTCTTATTCCTCTTGCTCTGTTCTTCTGTTTATTCTTTCTTTCTTTCTTTCTTTCTTTCTTTCTTTCTTTCTTTCTTTCTTTCTTTCTTATTCCTCTTGCTCTGTTCTCCTGTTTATTCTTTCTTTCTTTCTTTCATTCTTTCTTTCTTTCTTTCTTTCTTTCTTTCTTTCTTTCGTATTCCTCTTGCTCTGTTCTCCTGGTTATTCTTTCTTTCTTTCTTTCTTTCTTTTTCTTTCTTTCTTTCTTTCTTTCTTTTTATTACGTGCGCTTTCTTTCTCTCACTAAAACCAAACAGAACCGCAAAAATATCTTTTTCTTCCATCTTCCCTATGACATTCAAAATGGAATGGTCCATTATTTATGTGGAGGTAATGGCAGGGTGACTAACTTACTAACAGAGGAACAAGCAGACTTTTAATATGATTGTTATCTACAAGTGCAAAACTAAGTAAAACAAATTTTACTTTGCATTTCATTTCAACATCTGGAAGTCTTTAAAGATTTTTTGAATGGTGGGGGGGGGGTCTTATTTTCCCAACAATTTTTTTATTTGTCTAATCTTGAAAGAGTCAACTGCAGATATTGTCACAGATGGACATTTTAATTAAAATTTGATGACAAGACAAGCCAGCCTTCTTATGACAGACTATTAACGTAAATGTTTACATATACACATGACAGCTATATCTTTGGCTGCAGAGTAGAAAGGGAAGCCAATAAAGACTATATATCAGTCAGTGACATAGTATATACATTTAAGAAAAAAAATGGCAGCATGATTCATCAAGTAATGTACATGACAGCAGAAAAATGTATTGTTAAATTTAAAAGATGAGTTTCCTTTAAAATTATGCTGTACTTGTCAGGCAGGAGGAAAAAATGTAAACTATGTGCAACCTAATTACAACCATTCCTGGGTATGACAATAAACTACATCCAGCAGCAAGGCCTCTGATTGGAAGGTTCTAATTTCTGTTGCTACCCAGGTTCAGCCTGAATCAGGGTGGTAACATATATTAGGATCTCAACTATGGGCAAATAGTTAATCCCCAAAGTGACATCAAAATGCTGTGAGAGTATAAAAATACATTTTCATAGTAAAAATACCAGTAATACATTTTCATAGTAAAAATACCAGTAATACATTTTTATGGTAAAAACTTACAAGTAATACATTTTTATAAAAAATAAAAATTACCAGCAATAAATTTTTGAAAAAAAAAATATTACCAGCAATACATTTAAAAAAAGTATTTCCAGCCATGTATTTAAAAATACAATTACCAGCAATACATTTTAAAAGAAATATTACCAACCATACATTTTTGGAAAAAAAAAAATATTAATAGCCATACATTTAAAAAAAATGTTTTAAAAAAAATTACTAATTCTCCCCAAAATTAAATTTCAGCATTAAATGACCCATAAGGAGTTGATATGCCGCTAAACAAACAAACAAACCTAATTACAACTGGTAGCAAAAAACATGTTCATCAACAGGATGCATAGAATCCAAGGATGCGACACTGATATTAGAGAAATAAAAAATACAAATATAATGGAGAACATTTCCACAACAAAAGAGAACAACCAGTAACACACAGAAATATCGGAGGACTGGAAATATTAAAATCTGAAGTGGAATCATTACTGGCCAAATTAAACAGAAACAAAACAGCAGGACCAGACAGAATTGTAATAGAGATGCTGGCAGCCTTAGATGTAGATCTATTTTTATAGCACTGCCCAAAAACTCCATGTGCAAACAAATGTTAAGAACATTGAAAACTCTAATGAGAGCTATATAACAAAAATTTATCATCCAAATTCTGTTAAATGCAGCAAGCAGCAGAATCAGACAATAAATAAGGCAAAAAGAAGTGCAGGTTTATCAAAGACAATAAATAAGGCAAAAACAAGTGCAGGTTTGTCAAAGACAATAAATAAGGCAAAAACAAGTGCAGGTTTGTCAAAGACAATAAATAAGGCAAAAACAAGTGCAGGTTTGTCAGAGACACCTGAACAAGGTATGTGATATTTATGCTCAGAATGAAATCAAAAAGAGCAAAACAAATTTGGAAGGATGTGTCCTTGCAGTTATCCTAAAGAAATGTGCTCTTGAACTAACACCTATTCTCTACAAACTTTACAATAAATGCCATACTGCTTGTTGCTTTCCAACTTGTTGGAAGTCCTCCTCTATAATTCCTGTCATTAAGAACTTTGGGGAACATTTAAACCCCTCAAATTATATTATTTGGCTGAATCCAATCATTCCTAACATATTGTGTAATGAAGATTATGTTGAATGGACACACATCTAGATCATTTCACATTAACACAGGGGTGACCCAGGGCTCTATTCTTGAACTTACATTATTTCTTATCTTCATCATTGACCTTCCTGATGTCATCAGTTCCCAACTAAGCATGTATGCAGATGACACAACTATTTATTCCTGTCTTAGCAGCAAGTCTGACAGGTCTGACGAAGTAAAACTGGCAACTGCTCTCGAATAGGACTTCGCATCAATGGTTAGCTGGGGAAAGGAATGGATTATAAATTTTTAATGCCTCCAAAACCAAACTAATTTTATTTAATCTCCATAGAGAACCTGTTCTGCCTGACATCAGTATGGCTGATGCTAACCTCCAGGACAGCAACTCTTGCACCTTCTTGGGCTAACATTTTCCAATGATATAAAGTAGAGTGATTATTTTGAATCAATTACTATACCTACTCCTAGGAAAGTTGGTTCGCTGTGTCATGCCAGACAGTTTTTTTTTTCATTAGAATCCATCTTGCACATTTATAAATCCACCATCCAATCCTGTGTTGCATACTGCAGACATATCTGGTCTGATGCTCCTGCTATATATCTCCAGATTCTTGACAAAACCCAAAGAAGGATCTGTAATGTAATAGTTCAGAAGAGATGTCTTCCTTGGTGCCTCAGCTGTATGAATTTAAGCATGCTACTTGATTGGCAGTTAGGTCCCACTGTTTATTGCTGAAATAGCTAAAGGCAACTAACTGTATGTTCTATTCTGATAGTATCTTTTCTCACACTGACTGCCTGTTGGACTCTTTTTCCAATTTCTTACTTGCCTACAATCTTCAAAACTGTAAGTGCATTATCAATATACAGTGACTGCGATGACTTACCTCGGAGCTTGAAATGTGTGCGAATGTGTCTTGCTTGCATGATAAATCCAAGAGAAAACATGGGTGCTGTCGAAGACATGATTTATACGCGCCGGTCTTGTCCAAAACAAGATTGTACCAGTACACAAATTTCAGCAGTGTCAGACTAGCATAAAAGGGCGAGGCGCCAGCAGCACAGCAGACGGCGAGTCATTCGGCGGACTTCAAGAAACAGAGTTGGACGTGCGAATAGATTGACAGACCAAGAGGCTGTTGAAGTAGGCACGTCTGATTTGGATGTCCGTTTCACGACTGCCCGGTGTAACGACCGAGAAAAGGAGTCTCGCAATTCATTTCTTTGAAGTGACCGATGGCGAAGAACAACAGCTGGTTTGCCGGGGAACCCTCTCGTCACTTTTTTGTTTTTCTCTCTTCTTTTTTCTACAGTGACACTTATGATCACAGAACTTGTAATATATTGTCACTATATGATTCCAGATATAGTGGCACTTACAATTATATATCATTTATTTTTAGTCATTTCACCACAAGCAAGGTGGTAATGCCACTAAGAGGCAATGTCTTACTGGGTGTGAAAGAGAATGAGAAGACTTTAACGAGAAGAAAGGGCACTAAAAGAACAGGATTCAAGAATACAGAAGATGTCAATTAATTTCACATTTGAATTTTTGAAGATCGTAGGCAGCAAGAAATCAGAAAAGAGTTCTACAGCTGAGAAATGCAAGAAACTATTAGAATAGAACTTACAGTTAAGTGATGAGACCTAACTGCCAATCTAGTAGCACGTTTAAATTCATGCAGTCACTGTATCAAGGAGAAAGCAATATTTATTTTGAAAAATACAAAAATGTAGCACACACAAGGCCAAAAAGGTGGACAGGGGAAGGCTGGTCTTCAATCTGTCTTATCTTAAACTTAGCTAGCCATGATTACAGACCCAAACAAACCACAGTATTCCTTACACCAAAACAACACATTCTTACTAACCATTCTTACTACAGCCACCATAATACCTCAAAGTCTCTATGTAGTCCTAACTAGTTCCCATATGTACAATTTGTCTGTTGAAGGGGTGGGGGATAAAAATAACAACTTTTAAAAATGAAACCTTAATGAATATTTACAATGTTATATACAAGAAACTAAACAAAATAGTGGAAATAGAGGAAAGTAGTATTTAATTTTGTTTTAATACAAAAATGTGGCACAAGGACAAAGGGGGGGATAGGGGAAGTCTGGTCTTCAATCTGTCTTATCTTAAACTTAGCTAGCCATGGTTACAGACCCAAACATACTACAGTATTCCTTACACCAAAAGAAAAAATTCTTACTTACCATTCTTACTACAGTTACCATAATACCTCAAAGTCTTTAGTTCTTGTATGTACAATTTGTCTGTGTGTGTGTGGGGGGGTGATATGTTAAATTTGGGTGAGGAATAACTTTTGTAATTAACACTTAAAAGACCTTGCTCAAACCATGACATTATGATAATAATAATTTCCATTTTTATCATTTTTAGAGTAGGGGGTTCCTGTTAGCAATATAAATACAGTGTTAAATCGATCCCTGACTTCTTAAAGAGTTATCTGTTCTTTATTTACTAATGTCAAGTTTAAAATTATTCTTTGCCTATTGTTCGGTTCACACTGATCCCTGTTCTTTTTTTCTTTACAGGAGTAGAGATTTATCCCTTGTTTGGTGTTTGGGATAAGTTAATTGGTGTTTGGGATTGGGTTTCCAGTTCCTTGTAAAGTCTACTTCAACTCTATACTTCTAACAACTCATTAGAACAATTGGTATGAAAATATTTGTAGAAAAAGACAGAGGGAAGCTATGTCATATCAGTGAGAAAGTGACTGAAGTTGAGCTGTCAGGTCAAGATCACTAACATTACAGATGGTTTGAATTTTGTTGATAATCTCAAGATATAAAACAGGAGCACCAAACCAAATATGGCAGCAAGATTCAATGCATAGACATTATATGATTTTTTTTTCATGCTATTTATTTTCAGAATATAGGCAATCATAACTCTCCAAGATTTCTTTTTTATTATCTCTGAATTGTCATGTATGCTTGGCATGGTTTCCCATACATTCTCTATTTTTTTGAATTC